TATAAAGGGGAAGGCCAGAAATCGAGTAATTTAACTACATGAGATTGAATATGTGTATGTACTTGATTCGATGATTATGCCCTGTCTGTATGCTTTAAAAAACCATCCTGGGGGCCAGCAGATGGTGTAGCAGTTACGTCACTGAACTCGCACGTAGGCAATCGTGGTTTGAGTCCCAGATCCAGCAGCTTAAATTTCACACCAGGCACATGTGCATGCCCGAAATCCTGAGGGGAGAATGGAGGAGAAGAGATTGTTGTGTGGACATCTCCCCTGGAGAGTAGAGAAATCCTCCATAACACCAGCCATGAAGCTTGCTTTCTTTTTAAAAAACAATTATTTTATTAATTTTATTAATTAATTAATTTGTTTATTTAAATTTGACCAGAGAGAGAGAGCAAGAGAGATAGAAAGTGAGAAAGCAAACCATCAGGTCCAGGATTCAAACTATGGTTGGCCATGTGGGACTCGAGCACCCTTAACCACCATGCCACCTGCTGGCTCATGGAGCTTTCTTTGAAGACTAACTTTTAAAATGCATTGATGCTTGTTCATGGCTATTTTATTTATCAGGAAACAAGTTTTTAAGGTCAAGTGTACTGTTCTATGAAAGAGTTCATAAAATATTCTCTGAATTTCCCTACGTAGATGGCCTTATCTTGGTATATTTACCTTGGTATATTTTTAAAATAAAACATATAAAATTACAAAGTACTATGGAAGTTCAGGTTTGGGTACAGTTAGTTTAATTAATTTAGTCCTTGGCAGCGCCTCTACCATCTACCACTGCCCGAACAGCTTCATAGTTTTGCCTGTACACCTTCACTAATCACACATGAACGAGAGCATGGTGGTGGAGAGTTACAGCAGATGAGTTTATGGAACACATGCACTATCTCAGCTCTGAAGCGTAGCCTGGGTGTTCTCCTAGAATCTGTGATTGCGAACATTTCCTACGACTTTCTTCTCTAGGCTCTATAACAGGATCCATATGCCAGGTCAGTGGCAAGGCCACTGATGTCACCAGCCTCATAGCAGACACCCCTGACATTTCTCACAGGCTCACCAACTGCTAAGCCCTGCCTTTGTATTCCCTGTCTTTTCTAACCTATCCAGATAAGGAAGAAATGTGTTTGGCAATCAGGCCGCTGCTCATCAGTGACATTTGCAATTACCAAAAGGAGAGTAAGAGAACATTTTCCCTGGTAATAAAACAAAAGCAAAGGTTTTCCTCCATTCCTTTTAAAAACTCTCCTTCACAATGTGAGGCTGTTGTTTTGCTAGCTTTTGACATTTCTGGAGACTGAAAGGAAGGGAAGGGTAGGTAACAATGTTGTCACGGATGAAGGTACGTGGATGCTCTGAATAGAAAGGTAGGCTCTGTGCTCTGTGATTATCTTCCTGTTGTGATCACAGAGTTGATGGAGTCTCAAGCTATGGAATAGCTTTATTAGGCAATCATAATGGCATACTGACAATTTCAGATTTCTCTGTCTTAACACATTTATTGTTAGTTCCATACTACATTACTTGCAACCATAAGAGAGCAAAAACAGTGATTTGGGATTATATTAAAGGGAATTGTGACAAATTATATCTGAAAGTCCCCTTCATCTCTGTCACATGCATTTATTTCCATGTAGGAAAACATGTATCTTTGGTACAGTAATGAAAACATATGCGGAACTTGACAATTTCTGCAAAATAAGAATGAGAATGAGCTGCCAAAGCACAAGGGGGCTTGGAGGAACCTTTCTCCAATTCTGCGTCTCTGAGTATCTCAGTGACCATCTCTACCTAACCACACCAGTTTAAGGAAAGGCCCTTTCTACCCCCTCCCCTGACAAGGGGTGTGGATACAGAATGAGAAGCCTTAGGTACAGATGCCATCCTGACCAAAGCCACAAGACCCTACGAAAGTTTTACTCACCGAGACAGACTCATTGAAATCAGGGGTCAGATATGAGCTGTTGCCCCTTTTGGTAAACAGCTTACTGGGACATAGGTAGGCCCACTTGTTTATGTATTCTTTCTGGCCTCTTTCATGTTACAGCAACAGAGCTGAAAAGTTGCTGAGTAGCTGTAGAAGATTCCAGATGGCTTCAATGATCCTGGTCCTTTACAGAAGAGTTTTGCTTCCTCCCACCCTTAATCGTTCACTCTCCATAGTTAGACTAACTGTGGAGAGTAAAGAGCGAGTATAAAGGGGAAGGCCAGAAATCGAGTAATTTAACTACATGAGATTGAATATGTGTATGTACTTGATTCGATGATTATGCCCTGTCTGTATGCTTTAAAAAACCATCCTGGGGGCCAGCAGATGGTGTAGCAGTTACGTCACTGAACTCGCACGTAGGCGATCGTGGTTTGAGTCCCAGATCCAGCAGCTTAAATTTCACACCAGGCACATGTGCATGCCCGAAATCCTGAGGGGAGAATGGAGGAGAAGAGATTGTTGTGTGGACATCTCCCCTGGAGAGTGATTTCTCACTTTCTGTCTCTGTCTCTCTGGCAAGTGCACATGTCCTATAGCAAAAATCTCTTAAAATACAAACAAGCAAACAAAAGACATACGGAGTCCACAAAAATATGCATCAAATATAGGTAAGCCAGAAATTGTAATAAAAAGGAGATTTAAAGAGAAGTAGATGATATGTACTCATGCTATGCTAATTGACTATGAGTTGTGAAAGCGTCAAGGGGAACAACTCACATACATGGAGAGACCACGTATTTGGGCACAGCATTAGAAACTTCCAATGAATAGGTCATTGGATTACTAAGGCTTCCTCAGAGAAAACCAAGCTAACCAGCAGGTACACCAAGTGCTCAAGTCCTGAGACGTCAGATGCTGGGGGCCAGTCTGCTCCAGTGCAGCCCTTCACTGCTCCTTAGTGTCCAGATACAAAAGGTTGTGAGACTAGGGCCCCCAGTTTAAAACACACATTGCCCACTGAGCAAGGTCAGGGATGGGTGGCTTTGGGGACACTTGGCATAGACCTCCCACACGGACTATACACGGAGAATAAAACAGGACAGGGAAGGGACGTCACGAGCTCATCCAGTACAGTAATGACAGCATGGAGAATATCCACAGATACTTCTGACAACGCCTGTGTTCTCAATGGTGACTGAAAATTCATAAACATTTGGACCATCAAATGGCGTGGAAGTTAAGGCACTGGGTACCCACATGGCCAACCATGGTTGGAGTCCCGGATATGGAGGCTGGAAAACATGCTAGGCATGTGTGCATGTGTGCCCAAAATTCAGAGAGGAGACTGGAGGAGAAGGGATTGCAGTGTGGCCACTCCCCAGGGGGGTGATGATTTCTCACTTTCTCTCGCATTGTCTCTGCATCTCTTGCTCATACAAGCACACACACCCTATAGCAAAGATGAAATAATAATAATAATAATAATAATAATAATAATAATAATAAAAATCATAAACTTTTTTTAGCTGGAGGAAATGAGAGAGTTGGTATAGTTTCCACATGAATGAATTGCATTTGAAGAAGAGAAACCTGGGGTGGGAGTGATTTGTAGGTAGATTGGAGCTGGGAGCAGACCCAGGACTGCCATGCAGATCTTTTTAGTTTCTGCTCGATGCATTTTTTTCTTTTTTAATCAAATTATGCTTTTTGAATTAGCTTTTCACTCTTGTACTCATGCTGATCCAAAAGTGAAATTGACATGGTCATGGTGTTTATGAGTTACATATAAGACAGCTCATCCTTCCTCAAAGTTGCTTGGAAATATTCAACTTATTTTTTCCCCTGTACACTCATACATTTTTGCATTCTTTAATTTTCAATATAAGCCTTTTCAAGAACGTATCTATTCTTTGCAGGTCTGCCTGTCTCTCTAAAGTCAGTTTTCTCTTGCAGAAATGTCTCCTGTCTCGACTTGACTTTCTGAGCCTGGCGGCTCTCTAGCTAGGTCCTCTGTTCTTGGATCCTGGATGGCTTTTGAATCAGGGAGCAGCACTCCATCCTTGGCAGGCATCTACCTTCCCTTTCAGAGAAGAAAGAGTCAGGTAGGACGTCTATGAAAATAAAGAACAAAAAACGGAAATGACAGAGCAAGCCAAACAGTAAGAAAATAAGGCTTTGCCTCAAAAGAAAAAAAAATAGTACGAAAGGAAAGGGAAATAAGGGTCCTGGCGAAACTTGTTCCCTCTCGCATTCATTTCAGGGCATATGGGTGGGGAAGGGGGAGGTTTCATTTGTCAGTGCCTTCTCTGGCTAGCTATCCCTTACGCTGAGCCCAACCTGCCACACACACAGTGTTACTTTGGATGGCGTCACCCCTGTCTTTTCTCCTCTAATGTAATAAAGCCCACTATGAACCTTGCTCTGCTCCCAGCTCTGCTGAATGTTAGTGCAGAAATGAGGAGGGTAGGTTTCAGCAGCATACTCAGCTAAGGAGTATGAAAGTGACCTTTCGTTTATATGATGGCCTCTACCTTCTTCAGATACAAGAATTATTCATCCTCAAACGAACTTTCTCTCTCCCTCTCCCCCCCTCCCTCCCTCCCTCCCTCTCTTTTTCTGTATCCAGGCACCTACTTTTGCAGACTGAGTGAGGACCCCCTTACTAGGGACATGCTCAGTTCAAGGCTCCCGATGACAGGGAGGTGGCGTGAGAAATCTGTTCCTTTGTCTTCCTACCACTGGCTGAAGACTGTGCTCTGATGGCTCACAAGCACCACAAAGACACTGTCTAAGCCCCCACTGGGTTTACCCAATGAGCAAACCTTGGGACTGGAACCCAAGTAGGACTTCTCCACACTTTCCCCCCAAACAGTAGGATGTCAGGAAAGGTTGCGCAAGGTGTCACATCCTTGCCCTTGTCCCACTTACTTGGTGGGACCACACACATCAAGAGACCAGAGGAGCCAGATAAGACATTGAGACTGGGAGACCACACTTCACATAGCCCACTTTGTTTTCCCAAGTTCTCATGGTCAAACGGGTTTTCAGACGTTACCACAATTACCTGTTGATGCTGTTTTTCTGTGCTAACATCTGCCAGTCCTTGCCTTTGGCATTGGGAGTGTCAAATGTAGCACAAATCCTCTGCCTGATAGAGTAGGGAATTTTGAAGGCTTTGGGGCCAGTCTGTGCAGGGAAAGTGCTGTCCTCTTGTGCAAAGAAGGTGATGGTTTCTCTTTCATTCTGTAATCAAAATAATGAAAGCATAGTCAGGTGAAAGCATTACTTAGACATTTTGATTTTTTACTCAAACTCTTGTTAACACACATGGACAAAATCCTGCCTGCTGTGAAGACCTCTATAAAACACATTGACATGTTTCCCTCTGTTCTAAAACAGTGAAGGACTTTTCCAGGAGCTAATAAATTGGATACTGGAGATTTGCATCAGCCTCTGCCACTCAAAGGAGTCATGATCACGTGTTTACAACACCCAAAGGGCTGTCGGGTCAGAGCGGAATTGGGCTTTTCTTGCGATCTCCTGGGTAGACCTAAAATTCATAGGAAGAAGCTACCAGATTGGCAGGTTTCAGTTCGGCAGAAGGAATGACCTTCAGAGAGTCACCACTGGTCAAGGAGCTGGCTGGGAGCAGCTTTTCAGGAAAGCTACAGAGGCTGTGGTTAGAGTTGATTATTGTGAGTTTGTTTTTCCTCCAGCCCTGAAAGTTATGTCACTTTATAGTAAATATTGTGGTCTTATTTCAGAATTAAGTTATTTGTGTAAAGCAGAGCAAGTCATGAGTCAGAAACATCTAGAATTGCCTGGGCAGTGATACATGCTGGGAGGCTTCTGCCTGCTGTCTGCACACCCTGCTTCCTATTCTGACCCGTCCAAGGAGAATTTATTTTAGTGCATCACGGCACTTTGTCATCATATCTGATAGAAAACTATGCAGATATTTGTCAGATTTGCAGTGGTGCTGATAAGTTTATATGGACTAATCCATTTTTAAAAGCTTATTTCTTTTTTTTTTTTTCATCAGCAAGAATAATAGATAGAGAAAGAGACAGACAGACAGACAGACACAGACAGTCCCGACAGGGTCCTCTTGTTGTGGTCCAACTCTGGCCTCAGCTGGCCTGGGTCACCAGCACATGTGCCCTGGCCCGGTATGGTCTTGGAAGCCTGAGAAGCAAACCCAGGGCCTTTCCACGTGGGTCTGGCATCTCTGCTAGACCGTTGCCTGGTCCCTAACAGACTTTCAAAAACTGAAAAATAACTTACAGAATTACTCCCATGATTACAACATGTTACGAAACAAGTGGGAATCTGGCAATGAAGTTAAGGTGCCTAATCAATTGAGTTTGAATTAAGAGAGAAAGGTTCCTGAGTGGTCCTGACCCAGTCAGATGGCCCTCAGCAGAGAAGAGATCACACTGGTCTGGAGGTCTCTCTTCTGCTGACCTGGAAGAAAGCAAACAGCCATCTTTGGAACTGCCTACGATGGGAATGCTGAGAGTGACTGCCAGCCGGCAGCCCGCAAGAAAAGTGGGCCTCAGTTCTTTAGCCACAAGCACCTGAATTGTGCCAACAATCTGAGTGAGCTTGGAAAGGGACTCAGCTCTCTAGATGAGAACATGAACCAGCCAGCATGATTTCAACCTGATCAGAGAAGTTTGTTACACCGTGCCTGCACCTCAGACCTACAAATACTGGGAGAAAGTACAGGAGTAGTGTTTAGTGCTGCTGAGTGTGTGGTCATTTGTTGTGCAGCAAAGGAAAAGCAATGCAAGAGAGTAATTAAAACACAAGATTTGAGGCTGGGCTAAGGGACTAGTCAGAACTGTTAAACACCAAGAAGCTGTCCTTGGCATTAGCAATGTCTTCCCTCCTCCTCATCAGTGCAGACCCTTACTGAGCTGCTCTGGTCTGTCCTGGTACTCCTTTTGACCTGGGGGTGTCTGCCTAACTTGGGCACAGCAACCATGGCACCACTTCTCAAATAGGGGCCAGGCTTGCCCAGCTGGAAACCACCAGACTTGAATCTGTCTTCTTCAAAACTGAGAAAACTGGTTGATGCAGAGGTTTCATGAATGACCGATAATGCTTTCCATTTTTCTGTAATTGCTGAACATGGCTACTTTTGGAGAGTTGTGTTTTGGAAACACAGTGTCTTAACCCAGCACTTCCAAGAGGCTATCTCATAAGATGTTCTAAGGAGGAGTCTCATGGCCAAATAAGTCTGAGAAATGCTGCAGATTAGTTCCTCTTCTTAGAAACTCAAAGCACATGTTGTCATGTTAAATAGTCTGTTTACTGGGTTTTAATAGCTTTATTCCCTGGCATATTACAGAACTAGGTTTACCAGAACTCTTCCAGTATTTGAGGTTAGCATGGTAGAACAGACAAAGAACTCGCTTTGATCTTACTTCCCAGCTCAATGGCTTTCGGTGCTACCTGACCTCTCTCAACCTCAATATTTTAGTCTTTTTTGAATTTTTAATAAAACTTTAATTATTTATTTCATGAGACAGAAGACAGAGAGAGAAGAAAAGAGAGAGAGACAAGCACCCCCAGCAGGTTTTTCAGGCCACGATCTTACTTCTTCCTATAGCCAGCCAAGATCACAAGTGAATGCCTGCCTGCCTGATGTGCTCAGGAGGTCCTCAGGATGGAAACCTCGACCCTTCCCATGGGATTAGCATCTGAGAGCACTGCATTCCCACTGCAGCACCACGACTGGCCTTATTTCACATTTTTATTGACTCCCCAGAAGTTTTGAAACTTGGTAAAAGTCACCCAGACAGATCGTGGTATGTCTGAAACTAGAATCTGAAATCCCAATAACTATTGCACTACGCATTTTATTGCACCACCCTGCTTCAAGACAAGTGTCCGGCAGTCCACAGAGTAGGGTGGTGGGAAAACGCCCTCCGAGCACTATGGTCTTGTGGTCCAGGGATTTCAGGTAACAAGGGCTGCATGGAGGAGGCAACTAGTTAGCCTTAAAGACGGGAGAGCCTCCTTGGAATAGAAAGTAGATGTTCAGGTAGTTTTTTAGGCAGAATGGACAAGTTGGGCTCTAATATATTGGGTAGTTATAAAATAAACTAACTCAGCTTCTTACTGCATAAAATAGGTGATAAGATATATCATTTTTTATCATGGTTTATAAAATTCCTTCTAGTCTCTAAAAAATGCAAGTCAAGTAGGAATAACTTCCTTATGTATTTTTTGACTTCAGAGTGTGGTAGAAACTGGAAAAAATTGTTTGATGCAAATTAACATGGTAGCTGCCACTGTAAAATGGCACCAAAGGGTATTAACTTGAAAAAAGGGTATGTCTTGACAATGCACCTGAAATGGAATGTGTCCATGCTGGAGGGTCTCCAGAGATGGAGCATTGGCTTCTGGGAGCCCTGGTGGTTTCTAAGCTCTGTTTACTTTGGGCAAAAGAAAGGTCACTTTCATGTTATAACCTGAGAAAAAGCTGGATAAAAGAGCATTTGAATGTGAAAAATGTGAAAAACATTATATTGGACTGAGTCTAAAACTGAGTATTTTTTCCTACTTACTGTACTATACTTTAGTATAGTAAGTGAATCCCTATTTCTATCTTGGTTTCCAAATTTAAATATTTTTCATGCATAAGGATGCCACTTTATGTAACATTTATAGTGCATTCTAAAAGACATCTGGGCCAAGTAATAAGACTCCTGTAGATACATCACATTTTCTTATTGTTTATATTAAATATGCAGAAGAACAGTAGATTCCCATGCTCTGCACATCTGAGATAAGCGGCTGCTACCTGATTAGCTTAGGGAGTTGTAAATCAATGAGAAATTCCAAGTATTCTATCTATTTTGTAACAGACAAATTATTCCCCAACTTCCATCACTTTTGGAAGAAAGATAAGAGAATTGCTTGAAGGAAAAATTGTAATATGCAAGATTCCCACTTAAATCATTTCTACTGGAAAAAAAAACCTTCGATAATATTACATTAATAAGGAATGATGAAATAAGTTACTTGGAGATTCTCCCCATCTCCTCAGTATTAATAAAATTGTTTTCCCCCAGCCTATAATTTTTAGACTGCCAATACTGTTGGTGTACTACAGTATTAATTCAATATAATAATTAAGTAATTCAGTAGGATTAAATTTAAGAAACTTCAACCATTTCTGAAGATTAACACAATAATCCCTACTCTGAAGAGAAAAAAAAGTATATTGTCTTGGTCACTGAAATAATTTTTAAAGTGTGAGGGTGATATGATGGATCATATTTATTTGGCAAACCATTTAGATAAAAAGCATGAAGGAGTATCATACAAATGATGAGGAACACAAAGAAGCAAATGCAGGGCCAGCCGGTGGTGTGGTGGTTAAAGCAACTAGATCCCACATGGCCAAATGTGTGGCTCAAGTCCTGGACCTCGCAGCTTGAAAAGCATGCTAGGTGTATGTGTGGGTACATGTAAAATCCCAAAGGAAAATGAAGGAGAAGGGATGGGTGTGGTCATCCTCCCATTGACAGGGGGCTTCCTCTCCTTTGTCCTTTCTCTTTCTCTCTCCCTTGTGAGTGCATATACTCTGTCAATTTTAAATAAATGAAAAAATAAAAATAAAGAAAGAATCAGATGCCTTCAAAGAGCATGATCATTGCATTTATTTAGACATTTAAAATCAATATAATACACCCACACACTTCATGCTTCCTTTGTTAAGTGTAGAAAATAGTAGACAATCCATTCAAGTTAAATAAAAACGGGTCCTCTGATTCCAAATACACAGTGATTATATATATGTATATATGTATATGTATATATATATATACACATACATATTTGTAGAATTTTAAAAAATAAAGAAAAACTTTTCAAAGACATCTGTAGAAAGGTTCAAAAGTTTGAGTCCCATAAAGGTGCTGTTACTGATTTCAATTGATGAAACTCTAATTACTCACTTAGTAGAACCACCTAGTAGTCTTTTTCAGCTTGGTGGTATGAACTGTGATGCACTTTAAAAATGATCTTTAACCCTAATGTGCAGATTGAAACATCCCATGTCTATAATGTATCCTTCACACACACACACCCGGCAACCAGCACTGCCCAGGTAATCACAATTTTTTCAGCACTTTCTCTATCTTCACTTTTGTTCAATCATCTACCCCCAAATCAAATCATTTTTAGGGAAAAGAGGACAGTTTAGTTAATCAGATATGCCACCAGATGTACGCTTTTCCCAGGAGTCAGGCAACTCCAGAGTTGGAAGCACAGTGAGTGATCCTTCAGTTAAGACACCCATCTGCAGCAGATCTGCATGTGGGATGCAGATTCCCTTTCTGAAGATAAACAGGATAAACAGTTGGTCTAGACCATAGTACAAATGGCTGGTTGTATCCCATACTCTTTCCTTTTGAAGAAATAACTTCTCAGTTTTCATATTACTCCTTTAATTTACTCAAAGACAAAAATGCTGGTTCTGCATGGTTGTTCCCTAGTATTTAAACCCCCCAAAGAAGGTTACATTATGGACAAGCCCCTCAGTAAATGTAGAGAGAGGATCACCATGCTGTAGAGCCTGAAGCAGAAGAAAAAGGGGAGAAAAATTATGATCTTGAAGCTATGTCTCTCACTTGGGCACTCTGGCTCTCCATCTGATTAGCTCAATGATCTTAGACAAGAAGGTTGACCTCTTTGAGACTTTAAATCATGTAAAATTGTGATAGTAATAATACCTAACTCATAGAGTTGTGATGGTTATATGACAAATGTTTAAGCAAATGAAACAGCACCTAAAATATAGTGATTTTCAAAAGTTATTTGTCTTCTTCTGATACAACAAATGATAACAAATTAAACTTGTCTAAGCAATAAAGTTGATTATGAAGTGCATCAGGCCAAATTCCTGCATTAATGCTTGAGGCAATTAAAAAAGTGATCCTTGACAGGATCAAAAGGATTAATAACATTTCTAAAATGCAGTAGACGACACATTTGACAACTATAGCCCAAGAAGAAATATCTAAATGTTCTGATACTTGCCTCTCATTATCAGAGATACTACAATGTCATCTTCTTTAAGGCATTTCAAATAAACTAAACTTGCAAAGCTTTAAAAAAGGAATTAGAGAGTAAAGAATAAGACTGAATTTATCAGAGAATTTTCCTCCCAGGTGCCTAAGAATTTCTTTAAGCAAGAGGTAAAGATACCAGGAATGTAGCATATTCCTCTTACATAAATTCACGTAATAGCAGAAGTTAATCCCCAATGTCCAGGTTGCCTAAATAAATAAATAAATAAATAAATAAAGCTAGAATTATCTTGTTGACCCGTTAATGGATATTTAAGAAAACATGGATCACGGTCTGTTTTTTTCTTGCCTTCTAAATATCAACTATTCCTGGATTTTCCTTTTATTTTTATTTTACAACTGTTCTACATTTTTGGTTTTATATTGTGCTGCACTGTGTTAAATATGCTCTGATATCTGAGAAAGAGGCTCTAAAAATATCCTACCACAGGTTTCTGGATCTACCTTCTTCATCAACACTCTTTTAGCACATAATGCTAATTGGCAATAATGAATGCAAATACTGCATAAACATGTCAGTTAAGACAGCTATCAATTTTAAGGCACAATTCTTTGAAAAGCCATCCACTCTTGAGAGAAACTGTTTGGGAAATTAGTGATACTCATTTTGCATGAACAATGAATTAAAATGAGACTGTAAAGAATGATACTGCTATCCAGTGACAAATTTTTGAAAAAAAAAAAAATTGAAACTGAGTTGTATATGTTAAACTTTCTGCCAAGCCCAGAAGAATATTTATTATTAATTTATTGATAAATATGCATATGTGCGTATATATAAGTACATGTATGTGTGTATGTACATACACATATGTATACCCTATATATGAACAATAAAGTGAGTATTTTCCTACACCAGTCAGAAGTAACCTGAAAATGTAAATAAAGCCACTACACATATCTGCTACTCTTTGCCTCTCCTCCTAAATAACCACTCAGGAGGGCTTCTTATTGTCTACTCTATAAGCTCAAGTCTAAGACTATAAAGTCTACTGGTGGTTTAGGGAAAACGAGAGCCATGGGAGAGATCCAGTGTTTTGTCTGCAGATGTTGCCAAGTGAATTGTTCGAGTCCCATTTTAACCCTGCCTGTCAACAGCAATACAACCTGGACTAGTTCTTTACTTCTTTCCTTTTCCGTTTTCTTAGTTGGAAGACTAATGCTAACATACATTCTGTCCATCTTGTTCCACTGATAAATCTAGGATTTAACAGCAACGTGGGTGTGCAGAGCCCTGAGCCAGGAGGGCATGAGAAATAATAAAACAAGGAGCCCTAGCCGCAAAGGTGAAAAGATATACGGGGCAACCAGCGTCTGGAGAACCAGCCAAAGCAGCAGAAAAGCAGCTCGATGACCTCGCGCCTCTTTGTGGGAAGGGTCTCACCTATTCCATCTGAATTCAGTTTATAAGGAAGCTTGGCTGATAGCCTAAGCCTCCTCTGGCTTGTAGTTTTATGTACAAGAAGCTTTAATATCTCAAAGGTTCTTCTACAGACTCTATACTCTCTGACTGGTTAAATTTCACTGCTCAATGGGAAGCTCCATCCAATCCTAAGTTGGACAAGAATCTGATTTTCCTTTATCAGTAATGAGGATTAGAAGAGTGTCATATTGTGTAGTATAGAGAGGTTCAAAGATTGAATGTGAATACGAAATTATAAAATTTTAAAAAAGAGTGCATGCATTCAGAAACTTGTTTCGAGCCTGAATAGCACAGCTGAGCTGGGGATAGCTTTGTCATTTTTACTGTCCTTCAGAAAGGGGGTCAAACAGCCTGAGCACCCAGGACTCACCTCTAGGATTGATGTCTGCACTTGGAGGATCTGTTCATGGCCTTTGAGCTGTCGGATGCAGATCTTGCAGGACAGCTGGGTGGTGGTGGGCGTGTAGCGCTCCAGGGAGAAGGCACAGTGCAGGGGCTGCCGGTTGCTGCACCACACGCGGGAGAAGGGGACTTCCTGCGGGGAAGATGGAGGAGACAAGAGGGGTACGGTGTGCAGAGCCTGGTGGCAAAGATCGGAGAGCAGTAGAGCCTGGCACTGGTAATTAGGATGATGATGATGATGACCACAGCAGAAATAATTGCTATGTGACGTGGGACTGTCACAGGGATAACGTGGCTGCCTCCACCAAGCAGCACCAAAATCAATGTTAGTTCCAATGGAGAGCATTTGAGTTCTACAGCCACACTACGAGAGCTCAGATTTCACCTGGTGACGCACACACACACGTGATTAGAAAGAATACCATCAAAAATTAATCATCATTTCTTTCCATTACAGAAATATTTTCCTTCAGCAGACTTGTATGGTTCATCCTTCTATCCAAGCCTGGGGTAGAATGATATCTTTTCATTTAAATAGAAATTGTGCTAAGAAACTAACTAATCATGGGAACCAGCAGTTAGCGTAATGGCTATGTCGCTGGACTCCCATGTAGTTGACCACGGTTCGTGTCCCGGACCCGGTGGATTAAAACTCACGCCAGGTGCGTGTGCGTGCATGCCCAAGATCCTGAGAGAATGGAGGAGAAGGGATTGCGGCATGGCCATCCCCCCTGGGGGGGTGATTTCTCACTGTCTCTAATGTCTCTGTCTGTCTGGCGTGCACACGCGCCCCATAGTGAAAATCTCTCTCAAAAAAAAAAAAGAAAGAAACTATCTAATCACAACTGTTCCCCCACACCACAGATTCACCAAAAATTGTGTGAGAATACAATATTGTTAGTGGATCCTACTGGAAAATAAATACCAACTGCAACAGTGCCCACATACACATGTCTCCCCAGGAGACACACAAACACTCTGGGCCACGTGGGTGGTCTAGCTGGTGGACCCCTTGCTTGTTTCGTTCACTCATTCCACAGGTGCACACTCATGGCCAGACGCCAGACTAGATACACAATGAGAAGTAGCAAGTTAGGTTCAGTTCCCACTCCCAAGGCACCTGTAGGCAACGGAGTGGCAGAAGTGATTTTTGCTAAATGAGGGGGGAAACGATAAAATCTGTATAAATCACTTTACTGGGAGTAGTCAGTACGTGCCGACCACTGGGCTGGGCTCAGACATGTGAGTTTGCAATACGTCATTGGTACCCTTCATGTACTTCACTGTCTTCAATGTGGCTGGATCCCAGATCCTGATTTTGGATACTTCCCAAAGGCACTGGTAAAAAGTGATGGATGCTAAATTATTGCATGCTTAAAGACAAGAAAGCCAGCTTTATGGAGTATAAATGAACAAAACCAAATATTTGCACCTAGCTTGCATCTCAGTACTGAATATAAGAATTTGTGTGGGTGTTTGTTTTGTCTTGCTTGTTTGTTCTTAACCCTGAGTAAAGGAAAGACAGTAAAATTTCATCTCAGATAGGGACAAGAACTCAGAGACGCCCGTATGTGTGGCACTGGACAGCGTTTCCCCAGCCTTACTTCTGTGCAAGATGTGGTTTCCTTGCACATGACACTATGTGTGCCACTCCCAGTTCCCCTCCATGTGGCAGGGCTAGAAAGAAGCCTCTGAGTTACATTTCACAGACTCTCTTGCTAGCATGAAGTCATACTTCCATCTTGCAGATGAAGCTAGATTTGGAAGGGAGGAGACGCATGTAAATGACCACAGCTTTCAACATCAGCAGGCAGGCCCAAGGGCTTTGGCTGTATAGTACATGAGGGTTCTAGAATTTCCCTAAGAATCATGTTCAGTACTGATGTGGTTTCCTGAAATTCCTGAACTTGGCAGGTTTCCTAATATCTATAGTAGCTTTCTCCAGCCTTGCTTCTTCCAGGGTTTCTAGTAGTTCTGATTTTTTTTAATGTGTCCTTGGAAGAAATATCTTAAATGTTTCTTGACAAAACATATCACTAATGGACCCCCATGGATTTGAAGAGGTTTTCTTGGAAGCCAATATGACCTGGTCTCTACAGGGAGCTGTCATCTGGGGGAAATTCTGGAATAGCATCAAGAGAATTGTAGGCTGGAGCACAACCTGCTTTTACCACCAGGAAGACAGCACACATCTCCAGAAGGGTACCTCGTTCCCGCTTTCCTGCAACTTTACAGCTCTTACTTATGCACTCATTTCTTTCTCGCTTGGTAGGAGACACTACAGTAGAGGCCACTTCTGATCAGTGGAGCCTCTCAGCAACCCTTAGGAGTCATTT